GATTCCGGTGTGAATGTGTGTCCACTCAATGGCAACGATTGGCATTCAATACACAAAACACATTATCAATTGGTTATCACAAAACATACCAATCATTTGTAGTGTTTAAAAATAGTGCGATATTTGCAACAATTGGTAAAAAATTACAAAACCTTAAAAGTGTGGAAATAGAAGACGACGAGTGTCTAAATGTATTTTCACATTTAGAAATGTTATCATCAATCGTTAACAATTGCCACAATGTCACTGAATTGTCCTGGTGCATTAGTTACATACCAAACAATTATCGGATTATTGGCCAAATGTTTGCACATTTTGCCAACACATTAACAAAATTGTGCCTATGTTTGCCCCTAAAAGCAGACATGGATTATTTTGCTACAAAAATACACACATGCATTAATTTAAAAAAATTGTCCATTTCTGTCAGTGATTCGGAAAACTACTACAATTATCCCAATTATGGGAATAATCCAAATTATAATCTTTATTATAAACAATACGCGAGATTAATGAATAAATTGTTTTGTTCGCAAAATGACCAAGGTCATTTTAAACCTGGACTTATAGTTGACTTTTGGGGCGATAGAGTTTGTCAAACGGTATTTATGTTTGACAAGCGATTCAACGTATTTATGACAAGATATGGCTTATATTTGCGTGAATTTACTGTAAAAATTAATGACAAAAACAAAACTAAAATCAAAGATATATTTGAATACATATCACAAATGCATCGTTTAATTGACGATGCATTTGTGATATGTATCGTCACATAATACAGTACATTGAAAACCCTTGGTTTTCAATGTACTGTATTAAATGTCTTTGAGACCGGGTTTCACAAAATCGGTACCAATTGTCGCAAACTTAAGCGTTTAAACCAGGAAAGCTCAAAGACATATTTTTGGTCAACGTAGATGTTGTACAATCATTATATTCTGATATATGAATGTATTAGGGAATATCATGTAGTACATAAATGATAATAAAGATTTGCCCGAATATTTGCCCGAGTGGTCTTTACTGGTTTAAACATTTCGATAAACGATCGCATAAAATCGATAACAAAAATGTTTATACAAGATGTTATCAATTCAATTGGCAATTATTTCACACAGGTGACACGGCTGAACATTCGCGGTCCCTATGGTTACGGGTTCCCCGATATAAGCGTATTGAATAAATGCCAACAAATTACACATTTGTGGCTCGAATTAGGCGTTGTTAGTGATTGGGAAGCTGAGGATGATTGTATTAATTTACCAAAACTGCAATCATTTATAGTTAATAGAAGAAAAAAGTGGACGAAATATTCAATAATACCATTGCCAATATTTCTATAAATACTTATTACCATTATTATCAATGATTGGGCTATAAATACGTATTTAATCCATATAAATTTTTTGCTAAAAATAATATTTAATATTATATAATAATTTATAATCAAATTAATACATTGATATTTAGATATAATTTATGTTATAAAAATTTGTTTAGTCTTTTATTCAATTTCTACGCAATAATAAATTATTTGATTGTCTATGAATAGCATTTGAAATGTTTAAATTAAAGTGAAAATTAATACAATTGTTATTAACGTTATGTTTAAAAAACACATTCAATACATTTAAGCATTAGTATATGTTATCGTTGTCAATATGAAGATGATTGTAGCGATTTATTTGATGACTTATTCACTGAAATATCACAAATGCATTCATTGACTGTATTTAGGATTTATTGTCACAATATTAAGCCAAAATATATGGTCAATGGATTGCCAATTATTGGTACCCGTTGTCGCAAATTAAAACATCTGGCACTAATTGGCTATAACAGGGTAGATGTTAATATGCCATCATCCCATCTGATGATTATTACACGTCCTATAATCGATATGATTTACCAATATTTTAAACGATTAACGAGTTTAGAGATTACGGGACTACCGGACGGTACGATACAATTGGATGACAATATGTTTCAATTGTTCAAACAATTGCGAAAAGTAATACTTGACGTAAAATATTATGATCTCAACCAATATTTATCATTTTATATCATTTATCACAAAATAATTGTTTATTCGCGTTGTGATGGGTTGTTACAAATTATATCTAAATACGATGCGAGCCCTCCCAAATAAATATATACATCACTTCAATACATTTAATTTAAATTATAATTGATATTATTTAATTTTCATGTGATCAATTTAAACTATTTAATTATTTCTTAATTATTTTTAATTATTATTTGAATATTTCATTGAAATTTACATCCCTTATAATAATATTAATTTAACTTTCATGTATTTATGATTAATAATATATTAGTAAAATATAATACCAAGATGTACTGATGTATTAATGTTTTGTAAATGATAGATTATTTTCAAATTAAACAAAATTGTTAATTGTAAAAAATAAAATTATTAAATTATATTAATAACTAATAATAAAATAAATGTTTCTTCAATTATGGACTAAAACTTGTTTTGCAAAACCAAACCAAAACTAAACCTGGTTAATTAATTTTTTAATGCTCACATATAGCTAATCTACTAATAAAGTTGCTGTGTTTTTATATTATTGCTCATCACCTTTATAAAATAATTTGTCAATGAATCACATTATTATAATATTTGTGTTTAACACTTACTGCCTTCATATTACTGTTCACTACTTATAACATTACTTTTGCCACACGTTTTGTATCTTTTGTTAGAAAAACATGTGATTTTGTTATAAATTAATTAAAAATTATTTGATTAAATAATTAATTAAATATCAATTAAGGTAAGATAATAATTTAATAAAATTAATTGATAAATATATAGTTATTTTTAATTTTAATAAGAGTTTCAAAATGTTCTCAAAGTATGCGAAGGACTCAATGGATAGGTTTGGCGACGATTTGTGTGAAGTATTGTTGAGTTATCTGTCATTTGAGGACCGATTCCGGTGTGAATGTGTGTCCACTCAATGGCAACGATTGGCATTCAATACACAATACGATTTATCTATTGCTTACCACAAAACATACCAANTTGAGGACCGATTCCGGTGTGAATGTGTGTCCACTCAATGGCAACGATTGGCATTCAATACACAATACGATTTATCTATTGCTTACCACAAAACATACCAATCATTAGTAGTGTTTAAAAATAGTGCGATATTTGAAACAATTGTGAAAAAATTAAAAAACATACAAAGACTGGAAATAGTAGACGACGGATGGCATGTGTTATTTCAGTTAGAAATGTTGACATCAATAGTAAGCAATTGCCAGAATGTCACTAAATTGTCCTGGTACATTTATTACACACCAAACGATTATTGTATTATTGACCAAATGTTTGCACATTTTGGCAAAACATTGAATTCATTATACATTCATTTGCCGCTAAAAGGAGATATGGATTATTTTGCCACAAAACTACACACATGCTTTAATTTGAAGAAATTGACAATTGATATCAGTAATAAAAAACGCTATACCAATGATCCCGATTATGATCTTTCCTACAAACAATACGGGCAATTAATGACATCGTTGTTTTGTTCTCACCAAGCTCAGTTTAAACCTGGGCTTGTGGTTAACTTTTGGGGTGGTATGGGTTGTGAAGCGGTATATATGTTTGATAAACAATTCAACGTATTTATGACTAGATATGGCTTATATTTGCGTGAATTTACTGTAAAAATCAACAATCAAAACAAAACTGAAGTCAAAGACATATTTGAATACATATCACAAATGCATCGTTTAATTGACTTAACGCTTACGTATAATTGCGATGAATTGTATGGCTTTGAGACCGGGTTTTACAAAATCGGTGCGAATTGTCGTAATCTTAAGCGTTTAAGCGTTTCTCATTACTATCAGTTGAACTCACCAACACTAATGAATATTGTTATGGAAACAATTGGCAATTATTTGCCCCAGGTGAGACGTGTGAAAATTCACGGGCACTTTCGATACGAGTTGCCCGATATAAGTGTATTGAGTAAATGTAAAAAAATCACACATTTATCGCTCGATTTTTACAATCATCGCGTTGTTAGCGATCGAGAATTTGATGATATTTGCAGTAATTTACTATACCTTCAATTGTTAAGCATTAATATGTTTGCAGAAAATGTGGACAAAACTCTGAATTCATTGTCAAAATTACGAAAACTTCAGACAATTTCTATTAAAATTCGCACAAAAGCGGATAAAATACTATTTGACGAAAGGATTGTTAGTATTTGTCCAAAAATAGTCGCAAATAACGCTTACCATAATCGTTTTTTAAAACTGTAATTATGATAATGTTTATGTCATAAATAATTACTTTTGTTTTCTGTAATATATTCTTATTTGTATTACTTTATTAATTATAATGATAACTATTTAATCAGTAATTTATTTGTTAACAAATTAAATAATTATTTTCATTTATATTACGTTAATTGTAACAATTGCAACTTTATAACTTTGATTTATAATTACTCAATATAATTTAAATTTTTATTAATTAATAAATTATTTTTAAATTAAAATTATACGATTATTAAACTATAAAATATTTATCTTAAATAAATGAAAAATAATTAATTGTTGGCTAAATAATATTATTTATAATTATAATTAATGATAAAAATATTATAACAAAATAAAAATTACACAATTCTTAAAGCTGTAAACTGTAATATTTAAATAAATTAAAAAATTATTTATTTAAATAAGTAGAAAATAGATAAGGTTTAAAATCACGGTTTATAAATACAATAATGTTACAAATTATTATAACTTAATTTTTAAACTAAAATACACTTTTATAAATATAATTAATTATAATTAAAATATTAAATATAAGTTTAAATGGTATTTATTATAATAATCAGAAATAATTATTACACAATTACCACAGTATAATTATACTGCCCATATAAATAAATCTCTACTATATACAAATATTTATAGATTACAATTATACAAATAAATAGCAACATAATTTGACAGATACTTATACGACCGGTTGGCCTCGGCATTAACGGCAGCTGACATATAGCGAACAAACACCAAGGGTAACAACGTAAGCAGCACAGCGTTGGCCATGGTATATTTTAGAAATACGGCCATGTCCTGGTAAATTATGGCGTACATTACGGTAACAGAAATCGTGCCCATTGTTAGCCATAAAATCAGTATATATTTCGATAGATAAGTCTTATTATAGTCACTAATCTCAACATAGATGCTGTCGAGCGCTCGGACTAGTGTCCGATCAATACCCGGATATCCGGGTTTCCCATTCCGAACCCGGAGTAGATTTCCCGCCCGTTGTAACCGGTTATTAATCAGCAGTAGTTTGCGTTTTAGATAATAGCATAACAGGTAATAGTGAACCATTAGCCACGAGCTGAACCCTATGGTGTATTTGCTGAACAGTACAAACACCATGGCGTGCCAAATTCCCCAGGTTAACGTATCGTACAGGTCACATTTGGTTGCAAATCCCACAATAATATGCCATGGTAAAAGCAGTGAGCAATATTTTAGCCCAATCGTTACTGTGTTGAATAAAAAGCGTGATTTCATAGCTAGTTTGAGGGCTAATTTTCTGTCCATTATACCAATTGACCCGGGTGTCCGGTGCCCGGCCAGCACATCAAATAATTGCGTAAATGGCCCAGGTGAATTGCGACTATACCAGAAAACGTACTGGATCATTAAAAGTGATAGCGACCATAGTGCTTCGGCGTAAGTGAAATGATGTCCACCGATGCTATACAGGTAGGACAGGTCGGCCAGCATTATGTGGCCACGTTTATCAGGCGAGTTATCGGATAGGTGCAGGGTTAATATAAAACGTACTAGTTGCAGCCAAATTACCAGGTGTATTAGCGCCGGATTGTTTATGATAGCTCTTTTCATGTCCCATTGCATGTATGAGGATTTAATTGATAGCCCAATGTGATATAATTTAACATGTGCCATCGGGGTGATCATGGATGTGGGTAATACTTTATGCACCGTTTTATATTCCATGGGTGTTATACTAATTTTACGTATAAAATTCATTGTGATTAATTTATATATTTTTAGCGGATACAGGTTACTTGGTGAATTTTGCTTTTTTAAGGAAAAATTATTTTAACAATGTTACTTGTATTGTTATTTTAATTGTAGCAATAATAATACTATGTCACCAACTTATATACTGTACTTAATACAAATAATAATAATACTAATACAGTGCAACTTCTCCATAAGGAACGACCAGTTGCACGGTAAAAGTGTTCCCTATAGAGAGGGTTCCTCCAAGGGAGGTTCTGTTATAGCTATAGAAAATTCAAAATATATTTCAAATCTGTTCCTCTAAAGGAGGTGTTCCCCCAAGAGAAGTTCCCCCAAGAGAGGTTGCACTGTAATATTAATTATCTTAATATAGAAATTAAGTAAGTTAAGTAAATAAAATTACACAAATTTTAATTATATAATAATATTTGTTTTAGTTTGGTTGTATAAATTTACATTACACGTGTTTTACATTATTTCATTATTTATAATTTAGTTTTAGAAATTTTTGTTATAAACACAATTAAAATTATGATAAAAACTGTTATTACCTTGTTTATCATGAATATAATTGAATACTCTTTATAATAATAAATGTTGAACACTAGTTAACTAACTATGTAGGTATGTTTATACAGATTATAATTATAATATTGTGAATATTATATTTCTAAATTAAAATACTGTACAATCTAAAATTGTGTTAATTTGATGGAACTTTATAATTTATAAAGTTGTTTGCTGTAAAAATTATTATAACTTCAGAAACAATAACAAAGGAATTAAAAAGATAATAAAATTGATTGTATATTTAAATATGATATAATAAACTTTGTTAAATGGTTTTAATGCAAACCTGTTTATTCATGTTGTATATAACATTAACCATATTATAAGTAAATAAATATTAGTAAATAACTTTCTATTTGAAATATTCTTATAAAAAATTGTTAACTATTATAAAATAAAATATATTATAAATGCAAATTGCATTATCCAATTGCACACAATATAAACATTAAAAAGCTGTTATGTGTTTATAAACATTGTTTTGGTATTAATATGTTGCAAATAATTGCACAAACACAGGTAGATGTGATAACTTCAATTTTAAGTTGTTTTTAAATGTATAAATTTTTAAATAAACATTAAGTTTATTAAAACAAATTTTTATTTGTTGACAAAACTAGATAAATATCATATACATTACTAAAGTACAGTAATTTATTAAAAACAATGCGGAATTAAAAAAAAAAATTTTAAAAATATCAATAATAATCATTGGGCATAATCATAATTAAGCATAATTTAAAAATCCATGTATACCATCATATTTAGGCCAGAAATAATTCCCTATCTTTACGGCGCCGTACAGTCAGCCCCTCAATACGTCGACCGCCCGCCTCATCGTACTTCAGGAAAGCGTCGGCCGCCCCGACCCTGTTATTGGCCCGCAATTGCTTCAGTATGTCTGACCCCCCAAACGCACCGCAACCCATGTTAAACGCAAAGTCCACACACTGTATATGATTTTGTATATTAAAATTTTTAATTAATAAATAATATTTAATTTTAATTAATTTATTAAAACAACTGTTTATGTTTTATTTAATGAAACTCGATCCTATCGCATTGACTCATATGTGAGCATCGGTGGTTCAGTGGTAGAATGCTCGCCTGCCACGCGGGCGGCCCGGGTTCGATTCCCGGTCGATGCATATTTTTTCATAATTTAACTAGCTTATATTTAATATTTGTTGATTTATAGTATTTTTTTCTTATACATTTATTTATTTTTTATTAATGTGTTTATTATAAATAAGTGCAAACTTGTTGATTCTTTTGCTACAACTAATTTAAAAAACCAAAAATATACAACTTTTAATCTAATACAGTGTGTGTGGATATTATATAATATTAGTTAGATTTGTTAAACTAAACTAATTATTGTTTTTAATAAGTTATTTCTAAATATTTATATGTAACAATGTAAAAATAATTTACAGCGGAGAATTGCTTGTCATTAAGATAAGATATCAAATTCTATGATTATAAGTTATAAATAATAACTTAGGATACAACATTATTTATTATATATTGTAAATTATATTCTTGATTTTAATTACATGAAGCTAATGTTTATATGAGCATCGATGGTTCAGTGGTAGAACGCTCGCAAACTGTGCGAGTGGCCCGGGTTCGATTCCCGGTCGATGCATATTTTTCACAATTTATCTAGCTTATATTTATTTTTTGTTAATTTATTGTTACTTTATTGTGCTACTTTTATTTGTTATAAATAAACGCAAAATTATTTATTCATTTTGTTAAAACTAATCTTAGAAACCAAGACAATATAACTTTTAATGTACTACAGTGTGTGTGAATATTATATTAGTTAGATAGATAGATAGTATATAAGCCTTATATTATAAGATAGCTTTATCAAACTAAACAAGTTATTTATTTTAATTTAAAAAATTAAAAATATGATTAAAATACTTATTTTGCTTAATCTTTCTAATTTAAATATATATATGAAACAAATTAAAAATAACGTACCGCGGAGAATTGATTGTCGTTAAGGCCGGCTGGGACTAGCCGCTCGACGCACTTTTCAAATTGAACAAGGTCTTTCATTAAGATCTTGGTGCCTTCCGCCTTGCTGATTGGCGGGTGTATGCCATCGCAACCTTGCCATTTGCACGCGTGCCCATAGCCAATGGTTTTCAGGCCCTAGGTAAATTGGGTGGTAATTAATAATATACTGGATATATCATGGTGATTATTTAAAATAGACATTTTTATTTACAATTTGATCGTGGTAGAAATCGGCCACAAAACCCTCAGACACTTTGAGCAATTCAAGACCTGCCCCATTGATGCTACGCCCGGTGCAAATGGACATGTTCATTAAGGCCAGCGCGATGAGCGTGATAATTTTTGCTCCCATGGTTGGTTTAATAGCATTTTATTTGTCTCATCGCCTATTTATATTGATATTGTGGAACCAAATATGGTTATTTTCGGAATTACACTATAGTGGAATATGTATGATACAATTCAAATGGGAAGTGTATAAATAAGGTATACGGATAGCGTTCATATTAGGGTAATTTGTTTATGTATGGAACTTTATTTTAATAATTATTAATTTTACATTATTAAGACCATTATCGTTTATTAAATGTATGATAAATATTGTAATTTATTTTATAATAATGTTTTTATGACATACAAATTGTCACATAAAATTAGTACAAAATAAAATAATTGCATTTAGAAGATTAAAAGTATTATTTGGTAATTGAGTTGAATTGAATATAACACAAGTAAATTGTATTTATACATCAAATTTTATTGCAAAGTTGTTGTAAACATATAGTTAAAAAGTTGGGTTATAATTATTATAAAAGTGGGTTATAATCGGCTGAAAGTATATGCTTGGTAAAACTATTTCTTGAGAAACAATTTCTTGTCATTTGCTCGTCGAACAGTCAGTCCTTCGATCACTTGACCCGCGGCCACATTGTATTTGTCAAACGAGTTGGCAGCAGCTTGCATGTTTTTGGCCTTGATGTTTTTCAATATGTCTGAGGTTTGGAAAGCCTGGCAACCCATGTTGAACGTAAAGTCCACGCACTGTATATTTGTAAAATAATTTTAATTTAAATAAACATGCTAGCCTTATTCATGTACTAATTTAGTTATATCAACTTACGGCATCAAATTGGTTTTGGTTGAGTCCGGACACAGCATTGTTAACGCAATTTTCATATTCAACCAGATCCTTTTTCAATAGATCCACACCTTGTTGCTGAGTGAGTGGTGTTTTACCGATATCGTTGCAGTTGTTATGCCACACGCATGCATGTCCGTAGCCGATTGTTTTCAAGCCCTGTTCAAAAAAAAAATAAATAGCAAATTAATAATTATCATTATGAAAAATATTGCTGGTTTTAACGCAACAATTACTTACAATCTGGTCGATGTAATAGTCAGCTCTCCAGCCCTCGGAAAATTTGAGCAAGTCCAATCCACCATTTCCTATTTTCATGCCAGCCGAGGCATAGGCTACCAGAGCGAACAGCACGATCAATTGTTTGGCCATTTTGGGTATGGTTATTTTGTCTGTGATTACTAATGCTAGTATTGTTGAGACTGGATATAATTTTTATGTTGTGATTTACAGCGCTTTTATATCCAAGTGATCATGGTTAAACACTTGTACTAGATGTTATTTAATTTATTACTTGATCAGTTATGATTTGCCCGCACCATCAATTAAACATGGTACATTAAGCTGTATTAAAATTTACGAACATTATAACAAACAAATATCTTAGAATGTGATAGTTAACTGGACAATTAATTATAAAATAGGTTCAAAAATGTGTTTTAATGGGTTTAGTCAATCAGAACAGAATTCATCCAGGGGATAAATAATAAATTGTTTTAATCATTTCAAATCAGTTAATTCAGAACGATAACCAAGTTATATTTTATTTTTAAAACTTACGTTTACTTCAATAATTTAGATAAAATATTTATTTAGCAATTAAGACTAACCCGCATTAATTGATTCTTAAGTACTGTTAACTTAATATAATTTATAAAAATTAATATTTATGAAAGTTACCATTACGTGAAAACTTGCTTGGTAACATCAAATTCATAAAAGCATAGAATTTCATTACAAACAACTGTTTTTGAACAAAATTTCAAATCACAACTTGTTAACATTTGACTAAAACGTGATATGTGCTGTCACAATAGATCATGTCATAATTAAAAATGATCATTATTTAATATTAGTTTATTTAATATTAGTTTACTTAATATTAGTTTATTTAATATGTTTTTTATACAGTATCTAGCTTGGTAAAACCAATTGAACTTGTTTTTGCAATTATATAATTAATTACAAACAGATTATAGTGTTACGTATTGTTTACAGTTAAACATCATAATTGATTAGATCATGACTGTTTTTCTCTTAAATTAATGCTTGATACAAAGTTAATCTATAAATTATTATTTTGTTATTAAATTATTCTTTAATAATATGGTCATAGGTAAATAAATTTATTTTGTTTGTTTTTGTGCTGTTTATTAATTTTATAAAATTTATAAAATTTATAAAATTTATTACATTAATACAGTATTTGATTTAGTTATAGTTATGTAGTTAGACCATGTGTTAAAAGATAGGGACTTAAATATATTTTACCAGTATTTGTTACCTGGCAAACCATAATGTTACATTAATAATAATTATGTATTAGATTTGAATATAACGTATTCAATAATAATAATTATTATTACAAGAAAAATATTTGTTTTTAATAATAAAAAATAATTTTAATTATAAATTGGCAAATTTTACAACAACATTTAATAATATTTAACAAGAATAATTTTTTACCCTAATTTTAATGTTTATTTTTAAATATTGTACAAACTGTAATCATGATATAAGCAATCATATTAGTTAAATAAACATCAAAAATTATTTAGTTAATTGGGATGGAAAGGACAAATCACAATTTTATAAATGTTGCAATTAATATTTTCTACAAAAAATTACAAGTGTTTGTATAATAAACAGTAAATAACCATAATCTTATATTAATACCTATTTTGTATTACATTTGAATATAACATATTGAATAATAAATATGTTTTTTTTATATAAAATAACGTTAATTATTGTAATAATTGATATTTCTAATGTAAAATATACATAAATTGTTGTATAATCATTAAAAATAATATTTATATACAGCATATGTCGTGAATCTATTTCTTATTGAACAGATTTTTCTCATTCCTTCGCCGGACAGTCAGACCAGCGATTACTTGACCACCGATTTTGTCATATTTTGAGAAGGAGTTGGCCGCACCCGACCAGTTTTTGGCTTTGATGTTTTTCAGCACGTCGGACGAGGTGAACGCCCCGCAGCCCATGTTGAAAGCAAAGTCAACGCACTAGGTCACAAAAAATGCATGTAAAAATTTTAATAAAATATTTTTTGAAAGTATATTAGTGCAAAAGTATGAACATTGTTATTTAATTTAACTGCTAAATTACTTACGGCATCAAATCGATTTTGGCTGAGTCTCGGTGCGGCGGTGTTAATGCAATTTTCAAATTCAACCAGATCTTTTTTCAATAAGTCAGTGCCCTGTTGTTGGCTGAGTGGCGGATGAATGTCATTGCAGTTGTTATGCCATTTGCACGCGTGTCCGTAGCCAATGGTCTTTAAGCCCTGTTGCAAATAATATACAATATAATTAACATATGCAATATAAATATTAATTAATGTTGATTATTTTGAAACATAAATTGCTTACAATCTGATCGTAATAGAAGTTAGCCCTCCAGCCCTCGGCAGATTTGAGCAGGTTCAACCCATTATTGCCAATCTTTTTACCAGCTGATACAAAGGCTATCAGGGCTAACAACACTATCAATTGTTTGGCCATTTTAAGTTTGGTTAGTTTATTTGCAATGACAATTAACAGTATTACTAGATTTAATTACTAAAGTATAATTTACTCTCGTTTATATACCATGGTTCTAACACTTGTTCAAGTATAATTTATGTTAAAGTTAAATCTCATATTAATTATATAATTTTCATATATAAAATTAATAAAGTTTCTAACATGGAAACTTTTTCAGGTTTTGGATGACAATTTTGACAAATGACAATTTTGGATAATTAATTATTTTAGGTCACAAATCTGTTTAATACAAGTTGGTTAAATCAAAATTTATTATGTAATTGTAATTTTTTGTTTTATTAATTACATTAATTGTATATTGTTACTTAAAATATCTTTACATTGTAAATGTATTCTTGTATAACATATCAACATTTTGCATAACATGATTTTTTTGTGAAAAATTTCAAGTATTGAATAAAACGTATGATTTTATTTTATTTTTGTTTATGTTATAAATATTAATAATCACAATTATATTAACTACTCAATTATTATTGTTTAAATAGCCTGATACTAATGATTTTTAGTTATCAATTTTAAGTTATTAATCATTTATACAAACTTTGGGTAATCAAAATTAATGTAACTATATAATATGACGTAAATGATTGTTTACAACAGAGAATGGCACATGGTTTATTATAAGTAATTAATATTGTCATACAAAATATTTGTTTAAAAATTTTATTTTTAATGGTAAAACATTTTTTAAACGAGTGTATGCTAAAATACAATTGTTTAGCACATAGTTACAAAAATATTAGATAACCTTTAGAAATATTGACAAAAATAATATTAATCACAAAATGAGCATGCTGAAAATGTCAGACCAAATTACATTAAAAGCATTACACTATTGCCAGTAGCAGGCGTTTTACTATTCAAATCGTATCTTGCGAGCTTGATAATTTTGCCCATGACGGTATTATCGCTTATGGTAAAACAATCCCATGAACTATTTTAATCATATCTCAATTGTAGTAAAAATGTGATGCTCTTCATACCATGCATTTATATAAAGGTAATGTTAGTTAATTAATAAAGTACCATTAACAGAAATTACAGTTTTTTATTTTAAATTCTAGTTTTAAAAAAATTAAAAAGAATTATAACCAAGACTAATTTTATATTTCTTCTAACTTAATAAAATATAAATGTAATTCTCATTTTTATCTGGTTAGCCGATTTGACTATTTTTAACAATTCCAATGATTAATAATTACCATGGTAATAGTATTACAACTAATCCTTTGTTACTATAATTTTAATAATTATTTTTAAAATTTAATACAAACTGTAATAATGATCTAAGTAATCGAATTAGTTAAATCATCAATATAAATTATGTAATTAATTGGTACATCATCGACACCTGTAATATATTAAACAATATCTTAATTTCCCAAATTATGTAGTTAATAATTTTTAGTACAAATGTACTAA